CACACACACACACACACACACACACACACACACACACACAGTAAATGTTTCACTTATAAACGGAATTAAATGAACTCTGGTTCAGTAAATTATGTTCAGATTGTCTGAAAACACAAATATATTTTCAAATTCTGTTTTTTATCACTGTTATCCAAACCTGAAGAACATTAGACACAAACACCTGACTTTTCCATCCTGTGGTAGGCTGTAAATGACTGGATAATGAATGGAAGGATATAAGAACAAACGTGTGTGTAGCAGTACCCACTTGTGGCCATAAGAGGGAGACAGAGACCCTGTAAATCTGCTGAGGATCATTAAAGTAAATAATTCAGTGTTTCTGCCTCCCCACCAACACATTTTCTTCCTTTAATGTTTTTATGGATCAATACCTGCTCAGAATGTAACAGAACACTTTTATTCTTCTGAACGTTTTGTTTCGAACCAAATTCGGCTTGGTGCTAAAATCAAACTTAAAGTCAGATTAAAGGTTAGAAAACAAAGCAGTCATTAGAGTTGTGACTGGGGTTTGGGTCAGGTTCTACAGAATGAGAGGAAGTCAATAAATGCAGGACAGCAGAACGTGTTTGTCCATCACTCCAAACCACCAATGTGCTTGTTGTTCATCACAGATGGTCCATTGTTCTGAACAAGTGAGGCATGAAAGGATTCTGACAGCACGGCTCCACACGTACATGAAGCAGACACATCCTTCCACAGTCTGACAGGCAGACAACATACAACATTTAAACATTTCAAAACAATCATTAGATCATTCATAAAAATATGGTTTTATTATTCAGATGAATAATGTTTGAATTTGCTTTTATTTAGTAACATAAAACAAAACCTTCACACATGGCTGCTACATGATAACACATGATATTTTCTACATTTTCATGTGATCACAGGTTCTCTGCAGGAGAGAGGTGTTCTGTTGGACTTCAATCATTCTATCATTTAACAGGAGACACTCAGGTAAAGAGGAACAGGATTTATTAAGTCCTGGACCAGGTTCAACCTGCTGGATGGACCAGGTCTGGTCAACCCAAAGAAACAGTGAAGGTGAGGTGGAATGAGAACATCCCTGAGATCTCACCTCAGGACGAGTTCTTCCCATAGAGCCGGGAACAGAATCTGAGACCACCATGTTCGGGGTCTCTGTTGAAGATGTGGCTTAACGAGCAGAGGACATGTTTGACGACAGGTGGGGGTAACCATAAATGCAGCTCTGCCTTCAGCACCATCGTATTTAATAAATGATCGGACTCTAAGCCCTTGTTGGTGTGTAATCTAAATGAATATTTTGTGGCAGGTGATTTAAAACCTCTTGAGCCCCAAAGCCCCCGGTATCAGGGGCAACATATTGTTTTCTGTTTTCTATTTTATTTAACTTCTTTTAACTTAAGATCTGTCAGTTGAACCTGGTCATGTTTGGTATCAAAAGAAATCTAAGAATCTTGCTAAAATCTTATTAAAACTATTTTTACATTCACCATTTCAAACAGCAAGTAGTTGAATCAGAAAGTAAACAAACTGTATAAAATGGCGTCATTGAAAATCTGTAAATGCATTCAAGTAAATCAGTAAAGGAAAAAAAATTGACATTATTTTTATAAAGCAAGTCAAAGTAGTTGCTTAAATATGTTGTAAAGTGTGTTGAAAGTTTTTTTTTTACTTGATTTTGAGTGACTATGATCAAACTGAAGTAAAATTTAATTTCTTATTATTTT